GCTGCCGGTCCACACAGCCTCCCGGTTTCCGTCGGATCTGTGACGACGGCCGGTTCGAAACGCAGAGGTACCGTCTCTTCGCGCCACAGCTGCGAGCGAAGCCCACGGACGGGCGAGCGGATGTGGACCCGGCCGAGCCGAGCAGAACCGAGCCCTGCGCGCCGTGCGCCCCCACCCAAACCACAGCTAGGAGTTCGAGTCAACGGCCGGGGATACCGGAGACAGGAGGATTGGACCCCCAGTTTCGCCGTTTTGATTTATTTGTGACAGACCGCTCCCAATCGCACTGGTGTGTGGTGGGGGTGCAGTCGGAAATGGCGAGTCCAGATAGTGGACACGGGCCCATGCGCATCTGATCGTGAGTGTCACATGTCAAGCAATGGAAAGGTTGACGCCTCCCCTCTCCCCCGCCCTCTTGGTCTCTGAAATGGTTAAGATTTTGCATGTTAAAAGACCGGTTTCGTACAATTGCAAAAAAAAAAATCTCCTCCCCGCCCTGGCGGCAGGGTGGGTGCTGTGCGCGCAGAGGACGAGCTTTTCCTCTCCCGCTGCTGCAGCGCCTGTGTGAAGCAGTTTCCTCTTCTTCTCGGGGGGGCTGCGTGGTAACACTCGTGTTCTCTGAAAAGTAGACTTCCACGCCTGACAATACAAAGAAAAAAAAAACCCCACGCAGACGTTCTTCCCCGGGCGTGAGGGAGACGGAGAAGGTGCAGGTGTCTGTACAGCTCGGACGGGGTCTTCTCTACAGTATTAACCTCTGCTTGCTCCAGACCGGACCTAGTTTCATCCACTTGGACACGGGCCGCTTACCTGCTCCAGCTCCGTGTGAAGGGGAGAGTATCAAACTTCGGTCTGGGAGACAACGGCTCAAGTTCCCGCAGTTCCCCAAAAGGCAGAGTACTCGTATAGGAAAATAAAATCCCAACAGTATAGATCCAAGTGCTATTTAAAGATTGGTTTGCGCAGTTTCCGGTTATTTAATAAAATCCATGTACGCGTTATTTCTGTAAGATACAACGCAAGGCTCCACAACAAGCTCTAATTGCAGAACAGTGTGTTCAAGCACATTTTCAAATCTTTAGAACACCGAAGCACAAGTCCCTGGCTTTGCAGAACAGACAGCAGAATATTTGGTTTAATATGTGGAATACTTATTTAATAACTGGAAAATCACAAGGTACGTCGTTGAAGTTGTAGTGCTTTTCTATTTACATTTGTTCTGTTGACACCAGACTACCCGTAGCGATGTCTTTTCGTCGTAAAGCTTGAATGCTACGTAGATAATTTGATCTTTCTTTCAAAATCTTTCAAAAATATATTGAATATTCAGCCTGAGTGGTTTCATTCTAGCCTTTGCACATGGTCTCACACATACTTAAAATATCTTATTAAAAGACACAGCTATCTTGAACTGTTAGCATTTCTTGTTCCTCATCCGTTTTGAAACAGCGGAAGTTGAATGTCCGCTCCTAACGGCGGCGGCAGTGGTCTGAACCCGCGGCCGGGCCTGCTCATGGGACCGATACTGGACCTGCGGGGCTGCCAATGACCTGACTCGTCAGGACGAGCCAGACGAGGGCCCCGGCCTTCAGAGAGAGGCTGGAGGACCGCTGGCGATTCCTCCAGGAGACTCCCTCTTCTCCCCCACGGCTGGCCGCTGCCACGCTCGACACGGAGCTGTGAGACGAACCCACAGGTCCCCAATGTGCCCGGAGCCGGGTCGGAGTGGAGAAAGAAGACCGCCAGGCGCGGGGGGCCGGGCTGGCCTGTGGCACGGTCCAGGCCTGCCGGACCCGGGTTCACCCCTCTCACAAGGGTGGCGAAGGGCCTCGTCCCTAAACGCGCCCGAAGACGAGATGAAAGGGCCCCCAGCAGCGGAGACGTAATTGGGTCGTCCAGACGGTTAATATCAGTTATTAGTCCTTACTTGCTCATTCTGCTTCATGGGAGCCGGGGGAGAGGCTCTTTTCAAACGAGCGAGAAGGGCTGGGCTTTGCGATTGCACCCTTCAAAGAGACACGGGACGTGCACCGTCAATAGGTGTCATTTATATCCCGATCATGCAATTTAAGAAACGTTTTGTCAGCTCATGTTTAAAGCACCGCACCTGGGCGAGAGTGTCATACACTCTGAAGCACAGCAGCGCAAGACATTTTGTATTTCTGAGTAGGAACGCAGCAGCTACAGGTGACCTACATGTGTGCGAGGATCAGGATACAGGCTAGCGAACTGCACCAGACACACTCCCGGGCAGCATCGAACGCGCGTGTCGTGGACAAATCGGGTTCGGGTCCCGCGCCAGCCGTCTGGAAAGCGGCGCAGAGCACGCGGCGTGGGGCAAGATGGCTCCTGGTGATGGAATGCGCGGTCCGCTGTGACATCACCGGCAGATCAGGGCGCCCATGTCGGGGATGAGCGCTGCTGTGACTGACTCGGTGCACAGACATGTCTGCCGAGGGGAAACGCTCTGCTGCTCATTCCCATGCTTCAGAACGTCTCACAAAACCGTGAACCGCCCTGTAGTCTCTCCGCGGTGCTGTCAGCTGTCAGCATTTTCAGACGAACACGTAGCCTACATATAAGTCTCCACATGCGCGTTATATGCGACGTTTCGCAGTAAATGCAAGTTCTGTGTCTCCGCAGAAGCCTGTTTATCAACTAATTACACACAACACCAGAGCAGAAATAACTGAACATCTTCTCTTAGCCAAGAAAGAAAATAACATGTTATAAAAAGCCTGCCATTTTAACAATCCAAATACTTCAACAGTAATATTCTAAGATGCAGGATTCGACGTGTTGTATGCCGAATTATGTGGGCTTCTTCTCCAGCTTTCCCTGCGCCTCCCTCGTTCGATATTCGGTGGCGATCATCCGCCATGGGCGATGGACCCGAGAGCCGGGGGCGTCTGCGGTGCCCGCCCTGCGGGTCAGGGCGTCTGGAGGCCGAGGCGCCGAGCCTTCCACGCAGGCAGCTGCGAGGGTGCTGTGATTTGTGAGCGTTATTATCCACTGCCACTGTCAGCCCTCCACGAACCCCCCCTTAATTAGGGGGAAAAAAAAAACTTTAAACGAGCAAACGGTCAACGTGTCTTGGAAAGCTGTGAACCCCTTTAGTCTTGGTAGGGCACTGCCACCCCAGACAAACTGGCACACTGGCAAGACAAAGCCATCACCCGTGTGGCTCATCTAGAAGTGCGGGAATATTAACTAGCACGGGAACTACTAGTTGTCTGAAACTGGAAGAAAACTGAAGCGTTTTTAATCACGCACGCTGTTCTCAAAAACATCGAAATGGAGACGATTTCAAAATAAATCACCCATGTACTGTATATTAGGACAGGCGATACCGAGTTATGCGGTGTAGAATTCAACTTTGCATCGTATATTTCAGAGCCACCGGTAAACTACATCGTGCACTGAAACAAGGTTTTGTAGATCTACGAGTTAAATATAAAATATCCTTTTACTAGCAATAACTATGTCGTGCCAGCACCTGACCTCTCAGATCTCTTAAGAGACTGTCTTATTTTTGTGAACAGACTTGACAGGTAATTTCCTCTTTCCCCACACTTGCTACATTATGTGTTGTTTTTCTTTTTTAAAAAAGGGAGTTTTTCCCGGAGTTAACCGCATTACCTTTGAGCACGTTGAACTACTTGGAAATGTACAGCCTCAAAGGGGCACTGAAGGCACGATCCCGCTAAAGAAACTGGAATGAACGAATGATTGTTTTTCATTAAACCGCCCTCGTCGCCTTGTCTCTTATTCACAAATACACACATCCCCACCAGTGTTTCACTGAAACGACGCGACTCTGTTCAGCCGTGTGCAAAGAAAGGGAGCCCAGCTACAGATCATCGCTCGCTCGCTCACGGCTCGATACACATGAACCTGTTTTCGCTCCCCTCTCTCTCACCCGTGTCCCCAGCCACCACTGGCCTTGGCGCTCCGCGGCCGCCCTTTCTTGGACTGAGCGGAGGGGCCTGATGAGCTGCGCGCCGGGCTCTGGTTTGTCACAGTCCTGCATTGTCTGCGCTGGGCTCGGCTACAATGGAGGCCGCGGAGGGGAAGACAGGAACCCTGACTGTACTGCTGCTGCTCCCAGAGCAGAGTATCCCCACCACCACCACCACCACCACCAAGACGGCGTCCCCGCATAAGGGCACGTCGGCTACAGCCACACGTACGCGTACATGAATATGTTCGTGGCCTATTCGTACGCGAAAAGGCCTAAAGAGGAGACTTGGGCAATGCGTGTTGTGGAGATCAGAAACACACACACAGGCTACAGTATCCCTCCCCCTCCCACCCCAAACCCTTCACGACGTGTCGGCCTCGCAGAAAATACTTATACACACTTAAAGCGGAGGAATTGTTCCCAGAGAAAGTACTGCATTTACCATATGGTCACACTATCGTTGAGGTACCGCTTTATTTATGCAAAATGGGCCTGTTTTTAGTATCGAAATCTAAAAGGTTATTTTTATTTTATAACCTGGAAGTACTCGGACGAATCCCACTGCTATAGATCGGGGTTATGTTCCTGCTCTTGAAAGAATGTCTGAAACTAGCACTGTGCGTTTGGGTACACGCAGAGGCAGTTGTTTTAGAATGTGCGCCACAACCTTTTACTTACGAGGAAGATTAATGTCGTCTAGCTATGAATCGAGCAGAAGTAATTCAGAGGGATTCAGCCCCTTCCCCACCCCCCCAGAAACGACTGTGCGGCGGAGGCGAGCAGAGCAGAGCCCCAGCACGCCCTTCCCACTCGGGAAATGGTTGCTGTGGCGGGGGGCCCGACGGTGAGGAGGAACAGTCGGACCCGTGTTTTGAGTTCCGGCTATACGGGCACTGGGCAGCGTCACAAGCCGGTCGTTGGCCGAGGCGCTCGGCTCCTCCATTGGGAAGGAAGGAAGAGCGACGCTTTTAAAAATGTGGTTTGATTCTGCTCACGGCGACACCCGCCTCACGCGTGGAGATGCATGCCCGCGGGTGAGGGGGCTGGAGAAGACGCCTCTCGCCCCCAGCAGGCGAGGGAGAACACATCACCACAGCCGTGGCCCTCGCACACGCCTATAGGCGCTCTCCTATAGGGCGCCCGCGGCGCGCCCCCTCCCCCGCCGCCGTGCAGCGCCCCCCCAGCCCCTGGCAGGCCGGCCGGCCCAGACCCTCGCCCGCGACGCGGCTCCACTGTTTCGGCCAGCAGCCAATGAGAAGCGGAGCACCGAGAGAAAGGCACCCGCATGAGATCCAAGAGCGATACGGCACCACACAAGATATCCTTAATGTACGTAGGTTTTCCAGTACTAATCCTCTTCCCAGCTCCCCCTCCCCTGTCCCCACCCGACTCCCGTGGCATTTTCCCCAATCTAGTATTTAATTGAGGAACTGGGATTCCTCACGTGAGAAGTTGATTTGTAGTTTGAACACGTGGCTCATTCAAAAAGCCGGAATATTCAAGTGATTTTTCCTCTCGGTTTTATTTAGAGGCGGCGCCTACATTAACGTGTGTGACATTTTCACAGTCTGTCTGCTAAGGGGGTTCGGAGGACGACAAAAAGTAGTTTTCTCCTCCTTTTCGCCAAGCCCGCCATCCTTAGGAAAGGCTGTTATAAAATATTCTTGTTAACTTATCCTGGGGGAAGAGTGCGCGCGTGAAACATCCATATATAAATATACTCTATATAAATAACACTCTGGTTGGTAGAAGTCCGTTTCACAAAAAAGAGAGAAAAAAAAGGCTGTACATCTGAGCGCATAAGTCTGCCTTTTTTCTGCAAGGTTTGCATTTTCGCCGTGCAGCACACCATGAATAAGCTTTATATCGGTAACTTGAGTGAAGACGCGAGTCCCGTCGAGTTGGAAAGTCTCTTTCAGGAGTGGAAGATTCCTTGTAGTGGCCCGTTTCTCGTCAAGACTGGTTACGCGTTTGTGGACTGCCCTGATGAGAAGGGTGCTATGAAGGCCATCGACACGCTCTCAGGTAAGAAAGAAGACCAACCGCCGGCGAACCTGGGTGGAAACCGAGTGCTCAAGAGTGTGTTTTGTTTTTGCTAATTGCTGCGGCGATCGTTTTAAATAAGAAAGATCCGTGCTCATTGAAACGAGGCGTGTGTGTGTATATATGTGTGTGTGTGGGTACCTAGGCTCCCCTTGTCTCGTACACTACCGACCTCGGCAGGTCTGGAGCCCGGCGCACGGGGCTCAGTTAGCAGTCCATGTTCTGATTACAATTGAAAATAAGCACTGCGATTGTTAGGCTCATACAACAAGTTTCAATTATCAATTACCGGGGGCCGAGGAAGCTGAGCGCCTGAGCTGCTGCATTTTACGTACAAATAACCAGCGGGCCAAGAAGGCCGATGACAGAGAACAGTGTACTTATGCAAAGTATTTACCTTCTAAACAAATTTTAATTACTATATTTATAGGTTCTCAAACAAGCCTGAAGTTTTTTTTTCCCCGCATTTTTTATATCGGGCTTCGTTCAAATAAATACCACCCTCTACAGAATTGTCTTTTTCGAGAAAACTGATATATCTAACTTAAAAAAAATGTTTTTAAATGTGTTTTGTTTAGAGTAGCGTGGCTACACTGGTGGTAGGTCCTGTGTCTTATTGTGCATTGCTACAACGTAACGAAAGGATCAAATACTTAAGGGATTTTTTTGTAACGAATTTAAAGAAAAAAACACAGCTTGTAAATTCGAATCGAATACCTTTTGGTGGAAACTAATCTCTAAAAAATAGGATTTATATGACTGTGTAAAAAATATTCAACCTCAATTTACAAAGCCACTCAAATAGTCGTCTTGTACTTTGTTGTGGATATTTCCGCGGGGCAATTCGTCAGCCATAGCTGTTGTACTTCACTTGTGAAAAGTGTAAATTAGACCACACTTTGTTCGTGTTGTTTTTTTAAATCTTACGCTTAACATGACGATGGGAGTTAATTAACATTTTAAAAGGCCGAGTGATGACTGAAATTATCGATATTCTCTGAAAAGCCATCTCTCCATTTTCTCCTACAGTGCATTTTCCCGCTTTACTGGCACAGCAAAACTTATTTTTTTTGGTTTTTTTTAATTTGTTTTCAAGGTAAAGTAGAACTCCACGGAAAAGTTATAGAGGTGGAACACTCAGTCCCGAAAAGACAAAGGTAAAGAATTTGCAACTCCCTCTGCTTGAACAGTTATTCATGTGGACTACCTGCTGTGTTTCGTTGTTTTATTTTTAAAAAAAAAACACATCAGTCTGCCAAGTCTTTTGAAATGAATATAATCTATCAATGATCATTTATGTATTTGACATCTGATTTCCCTCTAACTAAAAATCAACCTAACAAATTAACTTTACAAGCCAGTCTGTGGTCTTCGTGTGGATTTTAAAACCAAGTGAGGCACAGGCCTGCTGATATTTTCACCAAGGCAATACTGGGGCGTTAGCAGGAAATGAGGCAGGTTTTGCATTAATTTTAGCAAGCACGTGTGCATTTTAAATATTTGGTGTGTGTGGTGGGCTCTGAATTTGGGGTGCTTCTGGGACTTTCGTTTGTTCTGATGGTTAGGGTGACAAGAGGAGAGGTGGGGATGTCTGTGCATAAAACTGGAAACATTTTTTGAATAAATTGTTTTTGTTCGCTCACATCTGGCATCCTGCTCTCATTCCTAAATGTATACCTTCGCCTAACAAAATATTCTCCAGCGCCCGACGTGATCGTGAATCGAGGCTATTTATGAAACCCTTTCCTGGTGAATTAATGCAGAGACCGCAGTGGGTGTTTTCTTGAAAATGGTGTCGCCTAGCGAACCTCCGGACTCTCCATTTCACGTGCCACATGGCTTCCCCTGGCGTTCCTCGCGCAGGCTGGGGTGCAGGGAAGCGGCACAGTGGGTTTGAGAGACAGCAGTGGGGAAGAGGTCCCCAAATCCACTTCATTAGGGGGGCTAAAGGACCTACACTGCTCTTGTACAAGCTCAATAGTCACATTTACCGACTTAATAAAATTGATTTGTCTCGCGGTGCCATTGCATATGTATCACGCATATGAGTGCATGCATTTATTTTTCCATAGCATGGAAGGCAAGGGCCTAAGCGTGTATTTCTCGCTGCGAACGTGTAGCAATTCTAGATAGAGGCCAGTGCGTGTATGCATATGTATTGATATAGCGAGGTGAGGCGGGTAGAGTTTAAACCCATGTTTTATCGTGAATTCAGTGTTGACTTTTTTGGGGAAAAAAAATCAGTAAATGAATGCTGATGTTCTAAATATTTGTTAAGGCTTGCACATTTTTCAAGGAGGCACTTGGCGAAACGTTTTTATGCTTATTCGCTATATGTGTTTTTGTATACGTTAAACGTATTTAAGTCCCTTTGGCCTTCGGTTTTTATAGGTGAAGCAACCTTAAGAACACATTTAAATTAAGTTTGATACAGGTGTAGTGTTACGATTGAAAGCATGTTTTAAAATGTATTTGGATGTTGGGGCGGGAGGCAGAGCTGGAAATTTGTGAGACGACATATAACGTTTTCTTGACGAATAAGACTCGTTCATCTGCTGATGCGTACTTTTTTTTTTAGAGTAATTTTACGAATTAATTTTGTATTTGAGACTTCGATACGTCTAACTTTGCCGTCTCTCTCAGTGTATTTTAATTTTGAAACCACGAAAAAGGTGTGTAAATTAATTGTTGGGCTAATGGATATTTAACAATTGCATCAAATCGAAAATGACTGAGCCCCCCCCCCCCTGTATTGATGAAGGGTGTTTTTGTGCTGAGGCGCTCAGTGTACCTGTCCGCTGTGTCGTGCGCAGGTACACGCGTGCTCGTGTGTGAACGTGCCGCGCCTGTCTGCGCGCAGGGGCCCCCCAGTTTCCTGTCGCAGGCCTGCTGTGCGGTGACGTGTTCCGGGCTGCGCTCGCTGTGAGCTCCAGGGGTGGGTGGTGGGTCAAGACGGGGGTGCGCTCTTTCACGTGTTTGGCTTGCGTAGCCACCCTCCTGCTTCCCGCAGTGCCGCCCAGACTGCGTGGACACCTAAAACCAGTCCCCCCACAGTGGCGTGCACAGTGGGAGGCAACACCTCTCCCCTCCAGCTGTGATGCTCTCCAGCCCCGTGGGGGCCTGCATGGAGACAAAGGAGGGGAAAATGGCTCTCTGCCTCAGCAAAGCTTGGGAGGCGTTCACCAGGAGGCTCGGGAGGGAGAGCCCACTGGTGGCTGGCTTGTTGTTGGGAGTGAGTGTGGAGTGTTGCCCCCTCTCCGGGGTGTGATGTGGGACAGGGGTGCCCGTGAGCCCCCAGCTGAGGGCTGGGCTGGCCAGGCCTGCCGGGTGGACGAGCCTGTGCCGGACAGCCACTGTGGGGCCCATGGGGAGTGTCTCTGCTGGCTTCCTGCTGCTCCCAGTCTCCGAGTGAATTCCTCAGAGGCGCGTGTTGCACGCGGAGGTGGTGGGGCAGTCTGGGGGAGTGTTGATAGTCCGTATCCCTGCTGCGGCATGGACTTCCGGTCTGTCCGGGAAGGGACACCGGGGTGTCGTTGCAGTACAGGGGGATGATGCACGAGCTCCAGCCTGGTGGTGCGGATCTCCGGCTGGCGGTGTGTGTGTCAGCGGGGGGGAGGGGCTGGGGCTGCACCCCAGTGTGTGTGGGTTCGGGTCTCCCTTGGCGCAGTCCTGCAGCGTGTAAAAGAGTGTCTGTAGGCCCCTCCCCCACGGACGCGAGCTGCCCCTGGGAGGTGGGGGAGGTGAGCCGCTGGGTGGCGCCTCCCCCTCTCCTCCTGCTTGACCCCTGACCCCTGTGGCCAGAGCGCGCAGCTGTCGTGTTCTGGTGGGCACTGCTGATGACGGCCCCGTCCTCCTGGTGGTCTTGTTTAAAACCTGGTTCGTTTCCTGAAGCAGAGTGTGGAAAGGGGGTTTGGTAACGCACAACATGTCTGCACACAGAAGTCCTGTGGTCTCGCTGACTGCACATGCCTGTAGAAAACAGGAACAGGCTCCAGGCGAGGTCTTGATTACAGGCAGTGTGATCCTTTAGGTTTCCCTTCCCCTTGTTTTATTGTGGAATTCTTTAAAGGATTAGATTTGTCATTTTCAAAAAGAGACCTTGAGACTTTTTTTGTGTGGTTTGGCTAAATTTGGAAGTGTAGAAATTTAATTTTTTGAGGATTTAAATGCCGAAACAGAAAAATCTGGTAGTGACAGCGTGTGTACGTGGTGACCAGATGTGAGATGGTAGTACTGATCTGATACATTGCTGTAATCGTTTTATTACTGTAATTTTGAATATTTAGGATGTTTTAGTTTTCATCCTGCACAACGTGTGAGCAACGTGCATAACATCTAACCACTGTTTCATTGTTCCTATTGTTTTCTTGCACCGGTGAAATTGCAATCTTCAGATCTGATCTGCCAATATTCCTGACTGAACCTGTTTAGTGATTTTTACATTTAAGTGGAAAAGTGCACTTGGAGATGTTCCTTTTACAATCTATGGTTTGTCTAAAGAGCGCACACAGCTATGGCAGTATTTTGACAGTAGAACCTTGGGAAATGTTCCTGTTCTAGGGTTTTGACAAAGCTTTTTATTTTCTCTAAATACAGCATCATTAGTTGAAATAATGGACTGCTACATTTTTTTTTTTTTGCCTGCAGTGAATTAATTTGACTGATGCTTTCATCCAAGGCAATTTCCAGAGGTTTTCTATAGGGAAATGAAATGAATTTCCAGTGCTGGGTTTTTGTCGCTGCATTTTGCTCGACCGGTCTCCGTGTGCTCTGGGGTTGAGGTAGGAAGGGAGACACCATGGGGCCCCGTTTTTGTTTTTTACCCTCTACAGATGTGGCTGACAAACCTTGGTCTGCCTCCCGTCAGTGCTGACCTCCGAGTTGTCGCGGTTCGAGGCAGAGGGAGGCTTGCCCTACTCTGAGGCGTTCCCGCCTTGCTCCTGGTGAAAGAGGAGAGAGTGCAGCTCTGGGGCTCCGGAAATCCGTCCCCAGGACCCGGTGTTGACTGGGAGGAGGCTCGGCTGCCCCCGCGATCCATGGTCTGGGTGTGCTGGGCTGGAATTAACGGAATTGTTTTGGAGGAGAGGAAGCCAGATTCTCAGAGCTGCAACGTTTCGGATGTGAAACATTTGGGGAGTTTTCTCCTGTGTAATCCCACTGGAAGTGTGACGATTGATTTCATCTAGAAAAAATTTAAACACTGTGCTTTGAGAATAACGTGCGACGCTACTTCAGATTTTTTTTTAATGCATGAAATCTTTGTAATGTGTTAGAATTTGATATTTGAGGACTGTGCTGTGCATTATGAAGAACTGGGCAAACCATCCATTGAGAAATGCAAAGATTAATCTGATGCCATCTGGTTATTTTTACTGGTGGTTTAGATTGTGTAATGTGAAATTATTTGATCCTGTTAAATGCTCTTCAAGCCATGGGTGAATTGTGCTGTTTTGCAGCACTTCACAGCATAAAAAAAAAAATGTTAAGACCCAACGTACTTAACAGCAACTTCCAGCTGGAATATTGGATGGATATGTAGAACTTCTTAGAATTAATATTAACATTAATAACTGCTCTAGCAATACAGCTGATATCTTTGATTAAACGTTTTGCATGTTGAAGAAGCTGGAAACTAAATTTAATGTAATTTCTTTTCTTTTTCTTCTGCGGAGCAATGGCTAATCATGTTGAAAAGATCCGGAGCTGTGAATCTGGCTGTTTTGTGTTTTTCTTGCGTACCAGTGGTTGGTGCTGTGTATAAAAGGGTTAATTTTATGTGCATAGTGAAGGTTGGGAGAATATTTATGCTTTCTTTTAATGAGTTCCTTTTCGGTTTATGGAAGCAAAAAAAGAATTGATTAAATGTTCTCATTTGCATTGAAATTGTTTATTTTTTACCTCGGGAATTGGTCGATATTTAAAGGTGTCTTGCATAAAACTTTTAATCCTCATCACTTTATTTTAGATGTGAAAAAAATATAATCAAGTTGGGGGAAAAATCTTATTTTAGGCCCTGTTAAGATTTGAAGTAGGGGTTATTTTTAATCCTAAAATTAAGGGACGTGTCCAGGGTGAAGACTTTGAAGTGATTGTTTCCCCAGACTGAAGAATCATTAGTTGAACAAAAGTGAAGTTTGGATTTTTAAGTTCTAGTTTA